TTATGAATAAGTTACAATAAATCAGAATATCAAACTATTTCATTTATAGATAAGTTGCTCCTAAAAACTTCTTAATTTGCATTTTAAAAGCAGACTTATGTCATTTAATCATTTATGAATAAGTTACAATAAATTTGAACATGAAACTATTTCATTTATAGATAAGTTGCTCCTAAAAACTTCTTAAGTTGCATTTTAAAAGCAGACTTTTGTATAATTTTTATGAGAATTAATAGCAATTACTTCCAAGTAGTTCACCTCCTGTGAGCATCCCAGTTTGGACCCCTCTCCTCTCATTGTGGCAATCAATCAATCAATCAATCAATCAATCAATCAATCAATCAATCAATCAATCAATCAATCACTTTATTTTGGTAAATTGTCCACATTAAACACAAGAAACAACAAAAGAAAAAAAGAAAAGAACAATAGACAAACCCGCAGTTGACCAAAAAAGGAATAGGCCGAAGCAAAGCTTATTCTTGCATACCCTATTTTTTACCTTACAACCTTATAACCTACCAGGATTTCTTTAAATTCAGATTCAAGTACATAGCACATATATAGATCTACATAACAGCGTAGGATTTTATCATTTTACATTTTAAAGCTCTTTTAAAGTTCACCAAGAAAGGACATAACTTAAATTCATCATTCAATTCATTCCTCAGTTTCACACCAATAACTGAAACACATCATGAATCATAAATCACAATCATAAAATAAAGTCTTTAGATTAAAACAAATGTGTATTATCACTCTGAAAAGTCCAGTACAGTCCACTGAAACTAAACACATGATGGAGTATTGAGCCCACAAACTAAAGGAGGATGTAGGAGTGAAAAAGCCTCGTTAACAACATTTCTACTCTTGCATGAACATGTGACCTGGGGCATGTACCAGTATAAGCAGGAGCTTTCTTTTTAATTATATGTGGCTTTGGGTGAGTATTATACCGAGGATCCCTTCTGGATGGCATATGGTCAAACAGCGAAGAGGGAGAAAATAACTAAAAAAATTATTTTTTTCTTGTTTTTTCACTTTGCAGGTTGATGCAGATGGTGTCAAGCCTATTCTTTTCTTTTTTTAGTCTGTTCAACTCTCCTGTCTCACGAATCTTGACATGAAAATGTTTGTGACCAATACAAGTTGAGTTTTCAGCATTTCTCACCTCAACACTAGGCCTTTTTTAAAATTGAATTGTATTTTGATACAGGCTAACTTAACCCTTTAAAGTCTAATCCAAGAATAAAACAAAACAGAAAATTCCTTTTTTTTTTGGTTTTGAATTCCTTATTTGGCCTTTTAACAAAATATGTAAAAAGAAAAAAACAGAAATACATTTTAAATATTAATAATTTATTACTATGCGATAAGTCAAGATTATGTTTTTGTGTAGTCTTCTGCCCCCTGTTATCAGGTGTATCTGATTGTGTACAATATAAAAAAAACAATACTTAAAAAAAAGAAAAGATTAAATTAAATTAAAATAAATATATGAATAAATATATAAATAAATAAATATATAAATAAATATATAAATATATAAATAAAATAAAATAAAATAAAAAAAAAAAAAAAACAAAAAATAAATTTGTGTTTTGAGCAAAGTTTTTACCATTAAATTATGCAAAAGGTGTCAGACGCAAAACATTTCAGAAACCGTATATATCAAATATGATACATTGGCTGGATTGGCTTTACAGGGTTAAAGCACCTTGTGATGAAGTCTAAGTTAGTCTTTCCCACAGATCTGCACAGTAAGTGTCATTTTGCATTATCAAAGTAAAACATTTCAAAGACTAACAAAACAGAAAAAGATCTAAATTGGTCGAATCCTTGCTCTTGTTCGAGGGGCCAGTAACGATGTAGAGAAAAAAAACAGAGTGTCAGGGACATTTTCTAAGTCATTTCATGCCTAATACACAGCCCTAATAAATGATAGAGCATATAAAATTCATGACAGAAGTAAAACAGCTTGTTGTAGACAAGTTGAATTATAAAGTTCAGTGAAGTCATTTATCTGCTCTTTCTTTTCCCCGCAGAGTCAAATTTGATATGGATGAGGCGTATGCTCCAAACGGCCTTTTCTCATGCACGGCTGGTCTCAAATGAGGTGTCAAAGGTGTCATGTGAAAAATATCTTTGTGTATAAATATCTTCTGTTCTGGCTCTATTATGTAATATAACACTGGAAGACTTTCTGTCTTCATGGCTGCTACCAGCTTTCAGGTTTTATAGCACAGGAAAGAAACCTTTGTTAGATTTACCACAGAGGCTACTTTTTTTTAAAACTACTTTTGTGTTAAGGGTTTGTTTTGCTAAGTGGCATTTTGGTGAAAACGTATCATTATTGTATTAATTGTCATATTAATTTTCAAATATCTAAGAGGAAGAT